CTAAACGAACGACGAATTATCGACACGATTAATCCAGCGTGGAAGGGACAAAAACTGGTCCCCTCGAAGAGAAAGGTCTCGGGATACTTTGGACGCAGAAACAAACGCAAGAACATCGGCGAGCAATGATCGGTGGATCGTGTACACAATCGGTGACCAGTCGGTGTTTCGTTCGATTCGCGGTGGAACATAAATCCAAATCAACGTCCAGGATCATCGAGGTATCGAGCATTTTAATGGGGGTTGAAGGACGCGAAGGAAAACGAACGAGACGTGGGGAGGGGGGATACAAAGATTCAGAGATCTATAAGACAAAAGAGGAAACGAATAAAGACGCGCGCGGTCTTGAGCCGGCGAAGTGAGTCGACACCGGTGGTGGTGGTGGTGGTGGGATCGAGGAGGGGATGAAAGAGAGGAAGAAGAGGAAGAGGCGCGCTCGCGCTTTGGAATGCTTTGAAAGACCGCGAGCTCTCTCTCTCTCTCTCTCTCGGCGGAGTTAGAGTTCGCCGCGACGAGGACGTAGACCGTTTCGAGGGAAGGTAAAAGAGGAAGAAGAGAGGGACCGTCGCGGACAGACTTGCTTCGATTAATTACCACATTGTCGTCCGGACGATGTTGGATGCTTGGCCGCGGTAATCCGTGCAAGATCGGCCATTTCTTACTTTCGTTTCTCCTTCTTTTCATCTTTCTCCGCGCGTTTTCGGCGAATCATCCGGCCCGCGAGATGGGAAGAGAAATTATTCTATCCCATCGGTAAAGGAAAGAAAAAAAGGAAGAAGGAAAGAAAGAAAAGATTAGAAACGTAAATCACCGCGAGTGGGCGAAATGGCGCGGAAAACGAACGCGATCGAGATAGCGCGGTACGTGGTGGTATAAGTTGGGGCTGGTCGCTCAAGTTCATGATCAATTGCGCGTTCCCCGAATACCAGCGGTCATCGTTCGACGTGGCTCGACTCCGCCGCAAGTTTTCGCCGTTTCGGGATCATGGCGGTGATCTACTAGCCCGTGGAATGTCGGCTCTCGGTTTATTATAGCGGATAACGATAACATCTCGGAGTAGCGTAGCGCGCGAGTTTGGGTTTGGGGCCACGCGTGGCCCCAGTCCACCCGCCGCCATCGGTCGCACGGTATACATCAGCGTCAGCTTATTTTCGTGCGTCGCTACGCCACCGCTGATGTATGAACGTAATTGGTTAGGCGGGATACGCGGCTCGCCCCGATATACGCGAGAAAAGGTTCGCCTGTCAACGAGACAGAAGCGAGCGAGAAGAGGCAGCGGAGATGACAAACCGATTGGAGGGAGGGAAAGACGAGAAACGCGTGGTTTCAACATCGCCGCGACATTGTTGGATGCAACAACATTATTTACTTCCAAGTCCAAAGATTCCCCCTTTTTTTTCCCCGCACAAGCGAATATAGATACCGCCTTTGGATCGAGCGTTCCGCGATGTTTGCAAACGGAATTGCGTGAAATGATAAGCGTTGTCATATCGATCGATGACACGTAACACTTGTATATTACGAAGAGTAGAGATCCTACGATGACATTTCTTTCGAATCGATAATAACGATATTGGAGATATTTCTTTTGCGATTATAACGATAACGATTTAGGTTGCTTTTCTTGGCGTATTTTCGCGCGAACGGGAACGAAAGCAAGTACGAGTGTAGAAGAGGATCCTGGCAAAGAGTGGCACGAGCTAGAAATGGGAGCGCGCAGCATCTCTCGATCGATTTGCCAGGGTTAAACTTATACTTGACGCACGCTCGCGCGTCCATTTGTCAGCCGGGACGCGACAATCACAACGTTCGCAACAATAATGGCTACCACGATGCATACGCAACTGCAATTGCGCGTATCGTGCCGTCGAACGATGCGAGAGTCGCGCGTACATTTTCTCGGCCGATTGCGATCGTTCATTAGCGTGTCTGAAGCTCTAATTCATTGCATAAACCGTCGTTTACGCGGCGAATTAAACGCTTGCACGGGTCAAGCCTTGGATAAATTCCAGTTTCGTCCGAGTTTCAACCGAGTTACGAGAAGAGCGATGCGTCTTTGATATACGAGTTAGATATATATATATATATACCTAAGACGATTTCCGAGAGGAAGAAATAATCAAAAGCGCGAATAATTTACGCGAATGATCGCTCGTACTCGAGATTTCAATTTATAAAACGAGGTAAAACATCGAAAGATCGATAAATTCTTCGATTTTTTCGATATTCATCTTGTTTTATTTATCTAACTCTAATGTAGCTTCGATTAAACGAGATCTCGTGTGCGCAATATATGCGGAGACATGGATATTGGATTTTCGTTTTCGATGAAGTACAAGAGGAAAGAAAAGGGGGGGGGGGGAAAACGAATTACACGAAACGTGAAAACGTAGGTAGGATAAATTCGTTCGATTGAGCGACGACTCGGTCTCGAAGGGGTTTCAAGGAGAACGAGTTCGAACCGCGATTGAACTCGACGCTATTGCCTATGATGTATCCTCTTTTCCACGTATCAATCCTCTCCTCCTCCTCCTCCCCCCCCCCCCCCGCCCCATCTTTTAACGACGTATGCGAACAATTTATTATCTCGGTTGAATCGCGGTGGACGTTGTAAAATTACTCCTTAAAGTCGTAAACAACGAGTATTGGAAAGAAGAATAACGCGTTCGTTATCGGGAGAGGAGGAATTCGAGCGCTGCGAATCGGGAGGGACACGAGTGACACGGTGTTTTTCTCGATTCAGCGGGATTCGGGATTATAACTCATGCACGCCCATCCGTCCGACAGATTTATTGGCGATAGCGGCGCAACAATAATGGCTACCGGCTACGTGTACGCGAGACTGCGATCGCGCGTCCTTTATCATCGCGTCGGGATGGTATGCAGCTCGCGCGAGGCGGTTTCTTCGATCATTACGATCGTGTTCGCCGCGATCTCGAGGATCGATGTACACGGCCCGCGTCCCCTCCTCGCCTAGCTCCAACGAATATCGGATGGATCTCGCGCGCCACTCTCCCCGATTTATCGCCCCGCTAATATTCCCACGAATATCGAGAAACGGAATTCGTTCGCGTTCGGGCGGATTATTTCGAAAATTTCGCGGCGAAGCGAAGAGCGATCCTCTTCTCTCGGGTGGGAAAAGAATGGAAAGAAATTTTTCCTCTTCCTTCCCGCGTTGCGTAGCGAATCGCGCGTCGTAATGCCGCGGGATCGTCTCGATCGATCCCCGCCTGCCTGTGCAAATAAGTAGCCACCGCCGTTCACTTTCCATCGATCCGTCGACCTTCGACAAGAACGGCGACAACGACGACAAAGACACGACCGACTCTCGATAGCCAGCGGGCAAACGAACATCGGCTAGTTAAAATTACGTAGCGGTTGGCACGATTGGCCGGTTTCCGATCGAAACGGTTTCGCGTCCTCCGAGTTCCTCGAATAATCCACAGCCGGATTATATCGCGCGGAATTGATCGACGTCGCGATGTTTCGACGTTCGCGATGAACCACGCGACCACCGTTCTCCCGGGCCGTATTCGATCGAGATACGATTCGAAGCGCATCGTCGACGTCCATCTATACGTTCCTCGTATATAGAATTCCTTCACGGTTGAGATGCTGTACAATTTCCCTCTACTACTACCGATTTCGAGATGGTGCGGATTCATACTTTTAATCCTATTTTTTTTCATCTAGTTTCTTCTCGGGATTTCGTCTTCGAAACGAAGAAGACGAAGGAGAAAAGGGATAGGGGCGAAAACGTGGAGCGGACGGCGTTGCGCGTGGTTCTCGTGGAGCATCTCGAGCACTGGCATCCATCGTGTTTCGATCCATCGAACGGTGGCCGAATAGTTGGCTTGTCGCGTCGCGTGCGCGATCGTGTGGAGGGGAGGGGGAAGGGTTTGGCGCGGTGGAAAAAATTCGAGCAGAATGCCATGACCCAGCGTGGCATTTGCATCCGTAGGATCTAATGAATAGCGAGCATTACGTCCTATTTGGTCTGATTGCGAGCGGCGGCCGTGACGACGATGCGCATAGCATAGCTCTCGCGCTATTTGCAGTCTGACCGAGCGGGTGGGAGGTACAATGGACGCCGACGCCTGGCGTCGGTATGCGCTCAATGGAGGCCCCTCTTCTAAGGACGTGGTTCGTACGATTTACCTACTAAACGTGAATCGACCACGGCGACGCGTCCGCTCGCCGGATTCGCCAAGTGACTGGCGAGGGTGGCTTACGGCCGGAGGGTGGTAAAATCCCTGGAATTGTGGACGTTGATGTCGAAGCGTTTCGTCCACCGACCATTCCCTCGATATTTTATTATCGAGGGAACTCGAGGGATGTCCACGACCAGGAGGAGGCTGCTTCGAAAATTCGACGATCGTTGCTCCACGATTCGAACGATCGGAGGAAATGGAAAATAAGGCGATACGGTGTATCAGATTAGGACTAGAATTTTTTTTCTTAAAGTTATTCGAATTTATACTCGTTGGTATTTAAATGGAAAATGGAAAATAATATAATTATTGATCGATGGAAAATGAAATAAATTTTCCGTTGAATATGTTGAAATCGATCGAACGTATCGCGTGAATAAACGAACGTCTACATTTGAAATCGTGAAAATTATTGCTTATTCGAACTCTGATAATTATAAATATCACGTAGGTCCGTACACACAACGTACACGCGATGTCAGAATCGTGTGAAAATCGCGAGTGAAAGGATGTTGTGAAATTTGTCGAGATACGCGAAAGCGATGAATTTTAATCGTAAATCGCGATTATCTTAATTACCATGTAAATTGTGTAAACATCGTTAATAATTTATCTTTAAACGTTTTATCAAACTTTGTGACAGGTATTTATCGAAACACGACAAAATAACCGTTAAAACGAAACGAATTTCTTTTTGCCCGATTATTATATTTCTCGATGTGCGGACGGATATATATATAGACGAAGAAGAGGAGATATCGCGATTTTTCCCCTTTTTTGTTCTTACAGTTGAACGTTCACCAAAGACCACTCGGGCAAATTTGTCCAGCTGGTGGAAGTGTTCCACAAGGGCAACAGAGCAGCGCAGGTTCCGTCGGCTCGGCACCTAGTCCGGCATCGCCAAGGCCAACTCCTCAACCACGGCCACCCGTTGCATCGACCGCCTCGCAACCCTCGAGAACGTTGGACGATGACAGATCGACGGACGGTGAGTTGGAACGTTTACCACGATTAGATCGAAAATCGTACGATACGATTGTTGAAACGGTATCTCGTAAGAAAAAGAATATTATTTGGAATCGTAAGATATCGGTCAATCCTGACAAATGTCCCCTTTCTAATTGGCTTATAGCTGTAGGTACCGGGACCGCAGCGGAAGATTCCGACGATGGCGAGAGCATAGCGCAATACGTGAGCACAAATTGCGTGGTCTTCACCCATTATCGAGGGGATGCTGCGTCCGAAGTGGAGGAACACTTTCAAAGGGCATTAGCGCACGACAAACCGAAGGGTGAGTTGTCCAAACTAATTTCTCTCGTTTTGTCGCGATTTTCAACGTGAAAAAATATAGAAAAACGCGTGGATTAATCGCTCGTGTCAATTTTCCATACGCGAAAGAAAGAAAGAAAGAAAGAAAGAAAGAAAGAAAGAAGAAAAAAGAAAAATGTGTGGAAAGAAAGGAGAGTGGTGGCGGTTTGGAAATGGAACGCAAGCCGGCGATTGCGGTGGGATAAAAAATGGTGGCGCGCGATACGTTCCAATTACGATCTCCCGTTTCGACGGGTTCGGACGTCATCGGAACACGCGACTCGAGTATTGGAGGACGAAGCGAGTCGGGACCGGGACTAATGCGTCAAAGGGCGGTGATTTAAACGCATCCAGCGCGGATGCAGCCGCGGAGTCCCGGCGGAGGCCGATAATAAAGTGCGCCATTAGGCCGCGACAACTCTAACAAGCCTCGTAACAATTGTATCGTGGTCGTACTCGGGGACTCGAAACCCTTGCCTTGTCCGCTCCGTGCTACGAGACGAAGAAGGGGAGGAGTGCGAGTTTCGCCACGGAGGAACGAAAGGAAAGGGAGGAAAAGGGAGCGAGAGCCGAATGAAAACGAGAGAGAAGATAAAGGCGAGCTCTTTTCGGGACGAATTTCTACGCAATAAGCCGAAATTCGAAGCCATCTCTCCGTTTTTTTCCAATACGCGGGTAGAAACGATCAATCGGGATTTTGATTTATCGGTATCCGACGCGAAGTTGAAAAAAGACGCGAAACGGTTGGCGTGGTTGAATGGGATAAACCTAGTCGGGGACGAAATAAAGTATCCCGAAAGAAGAAAGATGGAATCGAGGAATGCGCGTTGGAATACGAGGAAAGAATGGGCGGTGGACGTGGACGTGGACGTGGACGAGTCGAAAGGAAGCGCGGAGAAAGAAAGATTCATATAGTCCAGAAAAGGAGTGGAATCGGTAAGACGGATGGGTGAAGGGGCGAAGAAAGGCGAGGAAAGAAAGAGTCGGGTAACGAGAAAGGCGAGCGAGTGGGGAGAGAGAGAGGGTATATAGGGGGTTGTCGGCGGTCGAGTCGGTTTGGCAAGCGATCGGCGTAGCAGCCCGTCTATATCGGTATCGTTTAAGGCCGCATTTATCTCGCGACAGTGGCTCACGATCGGTTCACTAGCCTGCTTAGAATTCAACGCAACGCGACCTAATTGTTATGTGCCGTGCGCGTCTCTCCCTCCGTCATCCTCTCCCGCGTTCATCCCCCCCTCCCCCTCCTCCTCTCCCGTTCCATCGAGACCACGGTTTCACGGCGTAGGAAAGGTAAATTAAGAGCTTCTCTTCTCCTCCTCGGTCTACGAGGAGGATGCACGCTGACTCAAGGAGAGCCGTGAAGGGTAGCAAGGGGCAGGGATATAGGAGGAGAGGAGGAGGGGAGGCTTGGCGAAGAGACAGTTTTAGCCGCGGTATGTTGGCTAACGTACTTACGTACAAAGAGCGAACGTCTCTTACCGGTGAACGTATGCGCGGGAACAAAGAGCATCACCATCCCTCCGCGAACGGACGGAAAAGAAAGGAAGGCGATCGATCGAAAGGGTTGCGTTGCGTCGTCGTTTCGCGGCGTGACGAGCGACGACGAGAGGTGTCTTATTAAATCGAGTTTTTCTTTTTCTTTTTTTCTTCGATTCTTCTGTCCCATTTTTTTTTTTTTTTCGATCGATCAGCCGATACATCGCGAGTTTTATCCGCCTCGTAGCTGAAAGAACGTTATTATCGAATATCGATTTTCGCGTCGCGCTCGAAATCGCGAGTACGGATCGACGACGCGTAACGCTCCCAAGGGAATGACTTCTCGCGAGGAAGAAATTGCATTTAATACGGTTTTGCGTTGCTACTACCAGCCGGTACCAGGAGCGGTTGGCACACGCTAAAGGGGGACAAGATCGAAGGAGGCGAACGATACGACTATCCGATAAAACGTTTTGCCCTCGGTAACGGAGAGGGGAGGAGGGGAAGGTTAAGGGTTGGTTAACTTGCGCGAATCGAATTAAGACGTATATTCGTAGAGGTGGGGATTAATTAATTATCGCATTCGTTTTATTCGTAAGTAGTACGAGAGTGGTGGAATTTTTCGAACGATTTTATTTTTAGATATCGTTCGATATCATCGAGGTAACGACGACGAAACTCGACGAAGCTCGACGATGAACGAAAATAGAATCGATCCAATTCGATCCGAATCGACATCGCTGCGCTACTCGAGTGGAATACGTACTACGTATCGCGTTAATTAATTTCCTAAAAATACATTTAAAAACACGCCGCATCGTAACTGTTGCATCTTCGTAAAACTTGACTTGAGTGAAACTCGACGACGAGTCAACGAGATACCTCGATTGCGGTTCGCGAATAATTCTCTCCCGTCAAAGGTTTTCAAAGCCAAATCGCGAAAGAAGAAAGAGCGAGAAAGAACGTTGTTTCTTTTTCGTAGTTGCGGCGACGCTTCGTGAAAAATCACACGCGTTTATCAGCGCGCATCCTTCCGTTCAAAGGGTTAATTCGGAACGTCCGGCGGGAGGGAAGGGTGGTATCGCGTCCCGTATGTTGTCGTATCCGATGAGAAAGGATGGATACGAGGTTGGGAACGAGAACGTTGGTAAGGTTGAGTTGGGGAAATTGAGCGCGTCGTTCCAGTCGGTGGCGTCAAATTAACGCCCCGTTCGCCAGCCACCGCGGCGCAACAGAGACGCAATTACTCGACACGGCTCTTACACGACGCCGTAGCGTCTTCAAAGGGGTTGCCGCGAGATTAGCCACGATACCATGCCTCTACGATACCGTCCACGCTTTTTCACCGCTCGCTCGAAAGCAACGAATCACACGGATGAAAATTGCCGTGTAATCCATGACACGCCGCGTAATTTAACGTAGCGTAATCGCACGTTTCCACGGCCGACGATCGATCGATTTTACGTCGTGTTTCGTCGTCTCCTTTTCATCTTCGAACGTACGACGCAAAGCATTTTCGTAACTCTCGGCTAAAGCGAATCTTTCGTCGAACGCGTGACGATCGACCAACTTTCGGACGTTCTTCTCCTTCCTCTTATTCTCTCGCGTATAATCGTAGACGGGCGTCTGTACAAATCGAAAATAGAGCGGAACGCGGCGAATCTGAATTCCACTCGTCTCGGGAGCGAATCCCTTTGGCCGTGGCAATCGGAATAACGAGGCATCCGGTCGCACCGCCACATCAATCCGGTCTGGGGGTTACGTTTTGACGAATCGCGGGATCGCGCCGCGCCACGTCTTTATACAGCCACCTTTTGGCGGTGCGCCAACACCACGCGTCCACCGCGAGGAAACTCGTACTCTCGTACTTCGTGTCAGCCGATTATTTTCCGCGCTCGAGTCGCCGCCAAGATTTACCGACTACATTTGTATCGGGGGTAGTCTCGCTGCAGTGGGCGAACGATCGACGTCGAGTCGCTCGTTCAACGGCTGAAAGTGAATCATTACGAGCCACCTCGCCGAGAAAATGAATGAACTCGAAAAAAAATTAACGTTCTTCGCCAGAGAATCTTTCCTCTTCTCTCTTCTCTCTTTTTCTCCCTCTTGTCGTCGAAAAGTTAGAAGAAAGTTACAAGATTTTTTAATCCGTTCACAGGAAAACAGAAAAATGCCCTATTTATTCGTCCGGGAATCTTTCTCTTGGAACGAACTGGTTAATTCGAGTACAATCGAGTGTAGAGAGTTTAAATTTTTCAGAAGCAACGCGCGATTTATCGATGGATCAAGCGAATTATCGGAAAGATGGATGGTTAAGAAGGAGCTTAAAATGGATAATAAGTGGAAATATACGTATTCGCTTCGGTATCGATGTAATTTGAATACTTAACGAAGCGATATATCTGAAACGGAGAATAATAATTTTCGAACGGTCGAAAAGAACTCGGGGTTCTCAACTTTCTATCAACTCGCGATCATTTCGTCGCGATATATGAAATATGCGAGGTATAAGTTCTTGTAGCGCGAAGAGAGAAATAAATACATCGCAGATCGACGACACATTGTATGATAACGTGGACGGATGGAGATTGTCGGTCGGAATCGGAGGGATAGAAACGGTTGGAAATGGACGGAACGTCGAATTTTCGCGATGCGAATTCGGTATCGACAACCCTCTCTGCCTCCGAGTGAGTGGTGGATCCGCTTCCCTGCGTATATTCTCCCCGAGCGTACAGCCGGTTCGCGGCATCGGCATGGTAGAAAGCCGACCGTGGACGCTCGACACTCTGTTTCTTTAATTGCGTTAATAAATAAAGGACAGTCGGGCGGTGGACAGGGACCCGGGGGGGAGAGAGAGAGAGAGAGAGGGAGGGAGTGGGGAGGCGGCGAGAAGGGAAGAAGCGGAGGTTGGAGGAAAGACGAAGGACGTGGTGGAACGAAGGTGGAACCGGTGGGGGCCGGTTTCCTTTCCGCTATCTCGCATCTCCCCCATAAGCAAATTGCAATATTTAACGCGATAGTTAGTCAATCTTTCTTGATACTCGTGTGTAGGAGGATGATGCCGCGATTCGCCTCCGGTTCCCTCCTCTCCGACTCGAGAAAGTATATTTTACGAGTTTGGCCGGATACTGGAGGAAACGAGGAGGGGGGAGGGGCCTCCCTCCGACTTCGACTTCCATTCCGACATTCCACGCGTGGGAAACAATGCAGTTCCATGGCTTCTTTATATCGAAAGTGTCGCGGGTCAGTGTTGTTAGCCGGGGACGAGCCGATACCCAATCGACGTTATCGTCCTGAACCTATTTCGCGATTCCGGGATCGCGAACGAGATTCCGATCGATCCCCTTCCGACGCGTTGAAATTTTATTCCACCGATTAATTTATCTCTTTCTTTCTTTCTTCCCGACGTTGTTTTTGATTTGTTCGACTCGTCCGACTCGTTAATTATCGCCTATATGTACATACATATGTTAGCGCGATGTGTCGTCTATTAGAGATAAATTACTGTACACCGAGCGCTGTGTATCGATCGATACCTGGATACCGTTGCGCAACGCATAAATGAATAATTCATCCTTCTGTTTTATCTTCTAAACGATCGTACAGGTTGCCACTTTTTCCACGACCGAGTTATTCCCGTCGATCCATAAAGAGTATGCTTCGTAATTAACGCGTTACTCGAGCAAATGAAGATAAATTTTCGTAGCATCTCGAAACGAAAGAAAAGACTCGGTCGATTTTCGATCAAAAATTCATATATATACATATACATATACGTATCGCGTATCGCGAAATCGAAAGCGTAAACCGACGAAGATTTTTGTATAAATTAGTTCCACGTGGGATAGCGGTGGCGCGATGGCGAAGATGAAATCGAGGAAGAGGTAGAGAGGAGAGGAATTAGAAGTATAAATCGTCGGCTGGTTTCAACCTTCGAATATGTGTTTGGATTGGCCGAAAGAGGTTGGAGAGAGAGAAAAAGGAATCCCGGGACCAAGGACTCGGGAGACTCGCGGGAGGATACACGACAAGCTTCTGGCTTTGGAGTGGTCGCTTGTAAAACAACCGAGCGGTACCTTTCTGTCGCGCGGTTCGATCCCGTGGGATCCGACTACTACTCGTTTATCGTGAACCCTCGAAAGAATCGCGTGCTGGCCCGTGGGAAACGATACAAATATTTTAATAAACATTCCACCTCGCCTCGGAATCGTCCATCTTTCCGATAAAACTTGCATCGCGCTCCGATTATCCATTATTCTTTGATCCGTCCACCTTTTCAACCATTGATCCTGTATCACGTCGCAGCACTTTTAAAAATAATATCTCGCGTAATTATAAAATATACATTTGAACGTATTAAAGATACAATAGTATTTATTTATTTATTCAAAAAGAAAAGATCGCTAAAACAATTTTATTTTGTCGCAGAAAATATCTCCCCTATGTTCATGAGGAACTTCCCCCCTTCCTTCTGGAAGAGTCAGCATCCTGGTGAAGTCTACGAGTGTCCAACGGATCCATGGCATCCGCATTATCCACAATATCACCACAGGTGAGCGTTCCTAACATTCTTTCGTTCGTTCTTCAAATATATTTTATACTTTACGAGGGAATCTGTTCTAAAAATTCTACGTTTCTAGCTAACCTATTAAAATGATACTTGCGTTATTACTCTCTCCTTTCTCTCTCTCTCTCTCTCTCTCTCTCTCTCTCTCTCTCTCTCTCTCTCTCTCTCTCTCTNTAATTTATCATGATAGATGTTGGTTAGTTTAATTAAGGATGATTTGAAAGGATCGATCGACTCGTTCGAGTTTGTTTCACGCGCACCGCGCGAAAAGTAGCCATGATTAATCGACGAAATAGTGGGAAGCGTTATCCGTTCAATTAACGAACGATAATGGGGGCCGATCGGGGGTTGGCGCATTCGAAAAATCTACCTCCGGCAGGCGCGACACGGTCATTACGCGATAGCCTGCCGGGATAAATGGTCGGAAACGAATGTCGCAGCGGGTACGGGGGTCGTGGAATGGGCTGCGAGGCGGGATGCGAGGAGGGGAACACGTTCGAAATGAGAGAAAAATCGAGAGAAATTGAGGAAAGGGAAGGAACGGAGGATGCGGGTTGGGAAGAGCGGGATAGATTAAAGGAGCGTAGAAAAAGCGAGACGATTGGTTTGAACGAAGAGAGAGAGAGAGAGAGAGAGAGAAAGAGAGGGAGGAGAAGGCAAAGAGAAAACGAGACGTGAAAAATACAGAAAACCGTCGGGAGCAGGTACCCCTGCTTCGAGAGATCTTTAGCGCTGATCTCGCGTTGGTCGCCGTATAAATTACCAGTCTGTCACCGTTCTTGAGAAGAGGCACGATATCGAGAATTCTTTCTCTCCCTCCATCTCGCGCCATCTTTTTTTTTTAATCTCTTTTTTTTTTCTTCCTTATCCTTTCCCCTCACTTTCATCGGTTCTCTTTTCGTTGTTCGATTGTTTCGTCTCGTTTCATTTCGTTTCGTTTCGTTTCGTTTCGTTTCGTTTCGTTTCGTTTCATTTCGTTTCGTTTCGTTTCGTTTCGTTTCCTTTCGTTTCACGCGGCTATCTATTTTTGCAGGGCTGTGCACGAGTACCATCACCATAACATGGCGACCGTGACGAGTTACGGCGGTTTGCTTTTGGGTGGTGCGCGAGGACTCGGCCACCATGCGGCGCACCACGCGCACTCCGCGGCCTCCTACAAGGACTGGCCGTCGGCGACGCCGTCGCAGTCGTTCGTCGACGCTTCCTCCGCACCCTCTTACCCGCACGGCTATTACGCACCCCTCTCTGGTGAGTCGAGTCGCACGAATTTCATACGAATCTTTCCATCGCGAGAATTCAACGAGTCGAGGATATGGAGAGTTTCTTTTTTTTCTCTCTTTCTCTCTCTCTCTCTCTCTCTCTCTCTCTCTCTCTCTCTCTCTTTCGTTTCGTTCTCGTTACGTACTCGATATTTTGCTCCTGGCTTTTTTTACTTACGTTTAACCGAAAATTGAACAAAGATGAAATTGAAACGCGTTACTACTGACCGATTTTTGATCAATTTGTTCGTCTCGTCAACGATTTTCCTCGAAATCTAACTTATCGATTTCTCGAATTCGTTTCGTCCACGTTTTCTAATCTTCTCGCGAGAAACGAGAGGCTTTCCCCGACTCTTATATAACTGGAAGTTGGACTGCGAGAATGAAAACGGCGCGGCTCTTTTTGCGGCGACGCGTCTTGGATATGTTGGAGCAGAGTCGGGTGGGGGGAGGAGGAGGAGGAGGAGGAGGGAGAGCGAAATGTTTTACGGCCATGCCGTGGCTTTTTGTCGTCGGCATCGATGATTTCGGTGGGAGAACAACGAAGAAAGCACGAGTCCCGAGAGCGTGGCACCGCTATATCGGCCCCCATTAAGCTCTTATTAATTGCGAGCATCTGAGGGGCCGACCGACCTTTCTTGCGCGCTACCTGCGCGCCATTCCGCCTCCGTTCCCTCTCCGCTGCCCGCCGCAAACAAACCCGCTGCACTCCTCGGCCTTCCAACTTTGATGTCGAGTCGATCCTCCTCCAAAGAGATTTATCATGTAAATCGTGGGTAAAAAGCCCGCTCATCCTTCCCTATATCGCGACCCATCGCGTTCTCCTCTTTTTTTTTTTTTTTTTTTTTTTTTTCTTTCGTGCCCTCGTCACTGTCCACCGCCTTCTAAGGGATCGTGTGTTTCGAAAAGTTAGATCGCGAACGGAAGATTTTACCAGTGTTTTATTATGGGGATGTTAATAGGTGACACGATGGTCGACAATTTTGAAGAAAAAAAAAAAAAAAAAAGGAAAAAGGAAAGACGAAAAGACGAAAATGTTTGACGAACGAAATTTGTATCGTACGATTCGTCAACGCGTTTAAGTGCAACGTACGAAGAGGCGAGTTGCAGCTGCAACACGTCGTGAAAGCACCACGCCCATCGTGATTGCGGAGACCACTCCCATCTGTCTGCACGTCGTTGCAACCAACACGCCTTCCGTTTTACCTCGGCAGCCAGTCACGCGATTTCGTGTAACACGTCTGCAACTTTCGACGCGATGCTCTATCGTTCGACAATTTCCGCGTCTTCGTTCGAGCTTTATTTTTATCACGTGCCGTACACCATCTCTCTCCCTCTCAAACATGTATTCGTTGCTTTCGAAGCTGATGTCTTTGGTGATGGCTTACGGATGATGGAAAATTCGATCTTTCTTGCATTTTAAAATGATATCGCTTTTTTTTTTCATTTTTCGTTATATCAAACGTTTAAAATATTTTGACGAGATTGATAGCGAACAATTCGACGTAAGTTATCGCAGTTTAAATTATTTTTGGTAAATTTTAGCGATCGAGAAATTTAAATATTTCGATATTTAGAATCTTTTCGACATATTTTTGGTCGTTTAAAAAATTCGTCCACTCTTCTATGACTATAATTTTCGTGATATCTGTTCAAACGCGTCTATTAATCTTATCAATCTCGTGTAAATACGAGAAACATTTGAAAGACTTAAAAAATACTGTTTATTATGTATGGTGTTAAAATAGCTTAGGAAACGATAAGGGGAAAGTAAAAGGGAGAATGATGGCGGTGTGCCGTGTATGGTGAATTCGAGCGACGAAAATCGATACTAGAGCTTCGCTTTGACATTCTCATCCCTCTCGATATCACGGATTCGATACGCCGTGCCTTCTCTTTTGGTAGCCATTTTCTCTATTTCAATTCTACGCTTGAAAGAAACTTATGCACGTTTTCTCATTTCGCACTCTGGCGTGTAATCAAGCTTATCTTACCTCTTGAATTTGAAATTATCGATAGGACGAGAAATCGAAATGCACGATAGACACCTTCCGATATCGATTCGTATATTAGTAGTAGATAAAAATGATAATAATAATTAAAGATTTCAAGCTAAAATTCGAAATTATTCGAGACGTGGATAATATATAGCGAGTGTATTCGCATTTGGAATTTTGATAATTTTGATGTGGAAAGAAAGCGGTCCCTTAAGAAAATTTGATCGCGTCGGAGGAATTTGCGGGAGAGATGGCGAGAAAAATTTTGGCCTCGTCCGCTAGAAGAACTCCCAGGAACGTATGCGGTGAGATTTAGGGCCAATTTAGGAAACGCTTACATTCGCACGCGCACGGGTTGGTGTATGGGCGCAGATTGAGAGTTGGTTCGCGGATCGGACCGACCAAACGAGTTTTCAAGAATTTACTCGGCGGAATGCCGGCAACGCTCACTATTCTAACTGGCGTGTGCTACCGTAAGGGCCCTGTGCACGCTCGTCGCTACCTTCCAAGTAGCAGCGACCGCGTCGTCAAACATCGATTCTCGAAATTAATGAATAAATAAGGAAGAACTTGCGACTTGTTCGCTCTCTTGGCCCCCAAATGTATATCGATTCCACGATTCGAGAAAATAAAAAACCACCTTGTTGATCGTCATCGACCAGATTTTTCAGAATTTGGTTAAAATACATGAAGGGCAATTTGAAGGATTTCGAGAGATTTTGTGCTCCAGGGAATCGACGGTGACAAACTTTTTCTGCTTTTCCCTCATTATCCTTTGAAATTTATCGAAGAATATTTCCAAAAGAACAGATCGCATCGTAAACTCGGATCGATCTATACTACTATACCGATCTGCATCGAAGAAAAATCCCATAAAAGTATTTATTGAAAATTACACCTTTTTTTTTGTTATCCAATCGGACATAAATTTCACGTTGAATTGAGTGGAAAAGCGAGGGATAGGCGAGATTTGGATGGATAAGTTTCGACGCGGTGTCTTCGAATTGGAAATCGGCCGCCATTAGAACGCCGCTTGACGCTCGGATTAGGCCGCGAGTCCACTGGTAATTATATAATTGCGTAAAATTAACTCGACCGGCATATAAATTGGTTGCCGTTTAAGCGCGATTAAGAGAAATAAATCGCAATTACCGTGTGACATCCGACGACGACGAACAACTGTAGATGGTCATGGTGCACCGCGTCGTGACGTTTCTGTCGGTTGTTTTATCCTTCCCCCTCTTCTCCCTCAATCCCCTCCCCCCACTTGTCGCGCGTATGTCTATTACTTCTGCGAAGTGATTAATTTAATTGGCCGTCACCGGCAGTCGTATCGACGAATTCGATGCATCATCGCGCGTTCGATGACGATTATAGTCGACGCGCCACCGGAAGTCGACTTGTTCCTATCGCTACTACTTCCTTCCTCGTTACTGCTCGGACCAAGCGTAAAGGTAAAAAATGTAAGAGACGATTTTAAGGAAAGGAAATAAAACGGAGACGAGGAGAAGAAGAAAGAATTCGTTTCGAACTTGGCTCTTTCGATCGATTCGATCGACGTTTAGACTTGTATCGCGCCGTACCGAAAGTGGGTAACATTTATTTACATATGCAAAGAATACGCAAGCGACGAAGAAAAGAACGTTTTTTTTTTTTGTGGGAATTGAGGATAAAAAGGATTGTTAGAAATTTGGCGGAAGTAGTGATTTAAAGAGATGCAATAACGGGA